GGGGGCACTTTGACAACCTTGATCATGAGCAGGCAGCTGCTGACCTCCCAGGCAAGTTAAGATTGGTCTCAAAACTTGACCGGTCTTTGGTGCGCAAATGAACACTGCAAACACTTCCCCAATAACAAGTTGAGGGCTCTCAGTGGGCCTTGATTATGAGCAAGCAACCGCTGGCCTGCCAAGACAAATCAACAGTGGAAACAACATTGACAGGTCTTTGCTTGGTTCACATATGAACAATACAAAACATTTCTCGGTGAGCCTTGACCATGCGCAAGCAACCGCAGGCCTGCCAAACCAACAACGGGGTCACACTTGACAGGTCTTTGGAGTTCATATGCGCACTGCAACACGCTGCAAACAAATTAAGGGCATTTGGTTGAGCCTTGATCATCTGCAGGCAATCTCAGGCCTGCCCGCGCAAGTCAACAATTAATAATCAAAAGAAATATGTAGACGGTAAGGCTCCTTACCGTCTATAACGCTCATACGTCAACTGAAAAGGATGCAAAAAAGTGAAGCTTCAAAGCAGCAAGTCTCTGAGAGTGTCTCTGAGTAATGGCATCTGGGCACAGCATATTCATTTCCTGTTTGCGCTTGAGTCCGGAAGTCAAAAGCTCAGCTGCGCTTCAGTCCTACACGATGCCTAGTCCAAAACAGGGTGGCCCTCAATCAATTGTTGCGGGCACCTCCACAGCATGGGCTTTGCCCTTGATTTGATCAACAACGCGGACGGCCTCCTCTCGGGATATCTTCCCGGAGTTCAGCTCTTGGACCAATTCATCCATCTTGCTCTCTGCATCTTCCAGAACAGTCTCCAACAACTGGCAGATTTGCTTCTTCTCCTCTCGATGGTGAATGGCCAGAGCAGTAGCCGCGCCCTTCCGTTTGTGCCTCTTGAGCGTATACGTTCCAGTCTTGGGTGCTGCTGCTGTCTTTGCAGCCGCAGTCCTGGCTGCTTTCAATTCTATTTGCTTGCCAGGGTCTGGCACATCAGCTTTCTCCACAGCTTCAGCGATTTCCTGGGCAAATGGCTGTCAACATTTGGTGATTAATGATTAGTGACCGATGGAAAGTTCACATAAAGACAAGCAACATGTAAATACTCAGGCGGCTGACGCAGTAATGCAAAACAATGGAACTCCTGTTGCAACACATGCTTTTCAAGGAAGACCCCACCAAAGACGCTGGCTGTCCTCCCCGGGAGATTGCTTTGGCTCAGCACACCTCGCCTGAACAGACAACATGGTTTGGCAAACTTCACACCAATGCCTGATTGACAACAAACGGCCTCAGCAATTTCCAGGGCTTTCCGCTTCCTGCCAGGTCTTGGGCTGGGAATCGTCGCGTCCTCCAGACATGGTCATAGATGCATGATGGTGATGATTGCTTGTGTGGCTGTTCAGTTGCAATGGAAGCCTCAAACAAAAAGACAACATTCTGCCTCGTTCTTCTCAGCTTCAGCTGAAGTCCTTGCCTGCAAGGATATTGTACTGTGCACATCGAAACATGACCGCATGGAAACCATTCCCACCTTTCCTGCTTGAGCAGCTTCCCCAACAGTGCTTTCCTTCAAACAGAGAGTCCATGATATTAAGACAGATATTTAGCACTAGACTTGAACTGCTCGTACGCAGCCTGAACAGCAGCCTCAGCTGTCTTCATGGAGATCCTTTTCAAAGCAGCCTGCTCCTGGCAAGCCATATCAATAAAACATGAAAACATGCATACAGCGCATACACCTATGTCACTTGTGCTCTTTGCTTGTGTGCAAGCAGTCCTGATGGTCTGCTACTTTTTCATTCATCTTTTCAGCTTCCTCCTCACAAACACAAACTGTTGCAAGCACATGTTAGATTTTAGCAGTGACCTCTCCTTGATGGTTTGGGCCAGGTTGGGCACATCTTCAGGACACTCAGCCTGAAGAAACTCTTCTGACAAATCAGAAAACGGAGACCTCGCCCATATTGAGCCCAGGGATGCTGTTGGGGTGATTTCCAGCTCATCACCAGTTTCCTGCGTGAAGGCTTCGCTTGGTTGGGGCTACGTGAAGAAGACCATGGCTCAAGGCACAATTTAATTTGAAGTAAGTGTCACTTCTGCGCCCAAAACAAATTGGAGGGGTTTGCCTCTGAGCTAACACACCCCAAGCATTAGTCACAGTCCTAGCCTTCGTCTCCAGAGCATCTTCCGCCTCACAGGGACAGATCAAAGCAAATACCAAGTGCACTCTTATTTGATAAATCACGACGGTAGTGGTGTGAAGACCCACACGGTTGGGGTGGGTGTCCAGCCTTGCGCACACCTGCTTCCTGCCAGTGGAAAGAGAAAACAATGACCAATGACAAAACAATCATTACAGCTGCACGCGTCCTGGATCAGCTTTGCACCTTCAGCTCCATTTGCCACTTGCTCCTGCAATTGGCACGCTGTGCTTTCAGTAGCCCATATGTTCAACAAGTCCTTCACATCACAAGGTGGAGCAGCCAGAGATGCAATTGAGGCGGACTTGCCCTGACAATTTCAGTTTGACACTTTACCATCATGAACAAAGTGGCCTCTCAGGCCTCATCATCATCGTCCAATACCACACACATGCCTTGTAGAGATTGCACAACTTCCTTGCCTGCAAAAGAAAACCAATTTCACTTGCACTACAGAAAGATCACGACTGAACAAAGAACACACACAGGTTCCAAAGGCGAGGTGCGTTTTGCGGCCAATCTCTCTGACAAAGCGTGTTCCTCTGCAGGACCCTCTCCAGTGGGAAGGTTCCATGCAGCAGCCATAGCCTACACAAGCAAACACCAAACGCCTGCACCCCAGCTCAATCTACAGGGCAATTGATTTGCAAGCAAACGGTCTAGTGACCTGCAAATTATCTCCTTCATCTGCATCCACCAGGTCCTGCATAATCTGCACCATGTCCAAAATCTCTGGCCACTTAGAAGCAGAAGTAGGCCATTCATGCCCTCCATCCAGCTTCTTTGCTGTGTGTTTCCACTGTCTGCGGATCTTCCGAACAGCCCTCAGCTGTGGAATGTTTGACACAACAACTTGCAATGCGCACACAAGTGGTTTCAGCCTCTAGTGCGTGAACAAGAATCTGTAGCATTGCTTTGATGTCCCATGCCAGAGCTTCCATTATGTTCGCAGCATTCTGGGTATGCTGGGTGACAGTCAGGGCCAGCGCTACTTGGATCCTCACAAAAGGGCACAGTTTCATGTAGAAGCTATCCAAGGATACATGCATTACACCACGTCATGCAAACGCTGAAAATGACATAATTCCTTGACTTCTGCTTTTAAAATGACATAACCCTGAAAATGTCAGATCGAACCTGACAAAAAGGTGCAGTTCCTGTAGAGTCACTGTAGAATCACTCCACCACACCGCATCATTTTGAACTCTGAAAATGACATTTGACTTCTGGTTTCACAAAACAAGCAACTGTCAATCAATGTCACATCCTTTCCGTTTCAGCACTTCTCTTGACACAGCTACAGTCAAATTCTGAAAAAGAAACACGTTTGTCATGTCAAGGCCATGTGTCAGTTGATGTCATGATTGCCCAAGTCAAATGGAAAACTCAATGCCCCAGCTCCCCCATAAGCTCTGTGTTGGTGTCCAAGTTTCGTGTCCACGTGCAAGGTGTGGATCGGGGAAGCCGTGAGAAAAGGTCTCAGCAGCCACGCCATTTGCTCCAAATAGGCTCTTGAGATCGTGGTTTCATCATCCGCACAACGTCCAAACAGCTTCCTGGCATCGCAGGACCCCACCGTTTGGACCAGCTCCTGCCAGAAGCAGAAAGCAACTGCCTTCCATTTCCAATTCTAAATACCAAAACTTCACATCAGTTCACAAACACACAGGAACGATAGCAAGCGCCTTCATCTTCTCTGACGAGATCATCCCCACCAGTTCAGCAACCTTTTCTTCGTCCAACTTCAACTCCATGGATCCAGAAGGCCGCCCCATTGTGGGGTTGCTGTGGAAGCCATGCAGGCTTGAAAATGACAAATGATGACTGCTTGTGAACAATTGCTCCAACTTCAAGAAGGAAACATTGTCAATTGAACTTGCCAGCGTTGC